CTATTAATGCTAGCGACAAACTTTTCTATAGAAATTGTAGATCTCGTCATTCTCTACAAAAAAGGTTTTATACAATTTTCTCGTAAGTTCAACGGTTTAGGAGTTATTAGCAAAAAACGAAAATTTCGAAGAAATTGAAGGGGTACCCCTTGGAAAAATCTCGGAAAAATCGAAAATTTGTTGTTGTTTATTATTAGCAATAGTCTTCCGATGTCTGATTTCTTTTTAAAAAATGAGTTTCTAAAGCGCATAAACTTTTGGGATTGACTGTATAGCCAATAAATCCTTAAGGCAATCTGTGATTCACGAGTATACTGATTTTATTTTTACGAATTGTGTGAACAAGAATTTCTTCTAACCTTTTTATAGGCGTGTGTAAATATGAATTTTTAATTTTTTTCATAGAATCCATAAAATCAAGATAGATGTCATTACATAAATATATTTGCAGAATGCAACATAAACATTTTCTAAAGTGTTTGTAATAGAAATGTGATCAACTAAAAAATTTGATAACAAAGATAACGCGACGAATAGATTAACAGCAGTTTTGCTTATTGTTTAAACTGTTGTGAAAATATACTACGTTTAAATTATTTTATTGTGATAATTTATATTCAACTTACATTTCAGTAACAGTCGTAACATTGTTTAGTTAAAAATCTAACAATAAGTAAGCTTACCTTGCCCCCAGGCCAAATATAATTATCTGTTTAAACGTGATTTGATTTTATAAACTTGACGTAAAGCTACCTTTTTATTATTTTATCATGCCTTCCTTTATTTTCCATTTCAGTTTGCGGTTTGAATATAACTGAAATGCTGTGGTTAACTTACTGGTGGATATCAATGCAATTACAAGATATGTAACATGCAATTTTGTGATCACGCAATGACGCACTGCAAGTTGACATTAAAGTAGCAGCTGCATCGTAGCGAACGGGACATAATGTCATATACATATACATATTTTACGGCTGCTCATTGCTCTCAAGTCATAAAAGAAAGCCTTTCATTATATTTTGCAATATTCATTGACAGTACGATTCTGCAATGTTTGTTGAAACATTTTATTACACACGGAATATATAAGATGTGTAAATTAAGTAATGAGACTGATTTTTTTTAATTTTTTTATTCGAATAGGTAAAGACATTCCTGAACGGCTAACCATAACAGGTTACTAATTTTTATCATGAATTTTTAATGATCGGTGAATTTTACGACCTCTCTGAAGCTTTACCTGATTACACGAGTTGCTGGTCACGAAAATTGTTTTTATAGAAGTTCTATTATATTGTGATGATTTATATTTACTTACGTTAAAATAATTGGATAATATTGGCTAGTACTAACTTGTAAATACTTATATGTATTTATATGTATGTATATAAGTATATATTAAACATGAAACATATTACGATCGACGAAGTATAACTTTCCATGGACACAGTTAGTCCCTCACGGACAAGAACATAGTGAAATACGACATGCACGCTTTAACAGTCTTGGAATAAAAATATTTAAATTATTAGTGTCTGCCCATACTTTTATACCATATATACAGAGTGTCCCAGAAAAATTGTTAGAGCCGAAAAGGTGTGATGCTGGAGGTATTTGTTAACAACAATTTCCTTTGGTGAAATGCAAAGTGAGGCATGGTTTTTGAATTATTAACGAAAAACAGTAACCAATGAGAACACGCGTAGGGTCCTCGCCCAGCCACGGATAGGTTGACTCGGATCGTAATTCTCGGCCGTGGCTGTTACGAGGTAACCGCGCTGATAGGGCCCAGGCGCAGGGGTCTCAGAATTTATCACGCACGGCTCGCTTCCCCTCTTTTTCGCCCGTATTTCGATTCCCACTACTATTCTCCTGATGCGCCTTCGCTGACCATGCCTAGCATACCCCCACCAAGTATTGGTCCCCACCATGGTCGCGTCGTCCCCACTTTCCGACCGAGGGAAAAATTATCCAGTCCCTGCCCAGGCGGTGCCCAAGTGTCATGACCAGGAACTGCGGGTTCGGCCATAAAAAAAAGGTCTAGCAGGTACTCAGCGGGTGGTCGACCCGGATTTTCGCGGATAGTCTGCGGAACGAGTCGACGGGCCCTTCTGAAGCCCCTGGGCTTTTACATGGGTTTCAATTTTTTACTACGGTACTGTAGGCTCCGCCGGGGCATCTCTCGAGTCCAAAACACCCACTACCACGCAGAATTCTCACTACGGTTACGGTAATGTGAACACTCCTTGAGACGTATCGGTTCGTACGATACTCCTGATATCAAGCTAATTGGAAATAACAGGGAAGCGAAAGAAACGAGAATTTAAACGAACTCTTCGTTATGAAATGCAATCTATGTATATTCTCTAATAAATACAAGTACTGGTCAACTCTTAAGTAAGAGAATTCCTTCTTCGATTCTCGCAGTGAAGCCGCGGGGAAAAGCTAAGGTTATTAGTAATTCACTCACAAAACTCACGTCGCGGAGAGACAGGGCCTTCGGCTGCACGAGAATTCTGATCTAGACTAATCCAAAGGGCTATGGTTTTAACCCCTTTTTATACCCAAATGAGCTCGTCGCCCGGAGTGGGAGACAACCATATATGGGCATTTTATAGAAGTTTCTATGCTCGCCTTGAACATGGTCCTCCCATGGAGTTAAGGGATGCGTCACCCTGAAGTGGTACATGACCATATAAGGGCATTTCATAGAAACTTCGGTTCGCCTCGGCTCTGATTTACCCGCGCAAAAGATGCATACGTGATCAGATCCGATTGTTCTGGAAGCGATGTACGTAACATGGCATAGCGTGGGCCCTACACGCGCTCTTATTGGTCAGTGTTTTTCGTTAATAATTCAAAAGCCATGTCTCACTTTGCATTTTGGTAAAGGAAATTGTTGCTCAGGAACACTTACAGAATCACCTCTCTTCTGTTCCAACACTTTTTCTGGGACACTCTGTATAAGGCAGTAACTCAATAACTCATATAATCTGTTATTACACATACTATTCCGAAACTTTCTATTGTCATTTGATAGAGTCCTGCTGCTGTCAATATACATGGTCTATTGGCCCTCAGCACCATCAGAATAAGCATTTTTTGTGCCCTCACAGGTATCTCATACCATCTGGAGAACCATCTGTCCGGGCAAAATTCACTCATATCACAATCTGTTGTATTCATTTACGTAATACAAACATTCAATTTCTGGAAAGAAGAGGAATAAATTGTAGAAACTTACACTTTGTCGACCACTTGTACGCTTTGTTCCAACAATCGTTGTCCAGGTAAACTAATCATGTATAAATGGAACAGTTGTGCCGCAAGATAACAAGCAAGTCGAACGACGTCAGCCGGGCGATCGAAAAACATAACTAACTAAAGGACAGATATGATTTATTGGTTTTTTTTCAACAATTATTCTGTATCATTACGAAAATTTACAAAGAAAAATTTGTGTACCTCAACAGCTGTGGTGCTAACAACTATCATGTTTATCCCCATCTGAATCAAGTACGAGTTCCGGCAACAAATATCGAGGACGTCGTAGAATCTTCAAATACGACCAATGAAACAATTAAATTAAGTTCGATTGCTTGTTATGTTGTTTGATTTGTGTTAACAAAAATACGAACTGTAGAGCCTCATAATGCACGTTTATGCATCGATTATACTCTTTGTATCCATTAGCGTCTATAGTACCTCCTTGATTTTCAACAGTATCTTCTGTCGCATTCTGAACTAGGCGCCTGGCCGTAATAATTATAACATAGTGAAACGAACGTTAGCACTTCACACGTGACAATTTATCATTAAAATAACCCATTAGCGAAACATAACATGTGTTACGTGCAGTTTCATAATTTTACTGTGAGATTTTTTAGTTTATTAAGTAACAAGAAGTCAAGCATATCACACTTTGCAGTTAGGTAACGTAAAATTTTGATATAAATCATTATATTTACCCACATGCTGCAAACATTCCACAAGCATGATATATGACAATGATGTATAATGAATCTATAGTGACTATGATTATCACGGTCGCATAGGCAACCATACTTAAATGGACGAACACCGGCCAAAAATTTTCCATTTCGTCTAGGAACAAATAATTGACGTGGAATAAATGTTGACGGGGTCGTGTCTCATTTAATGGCGCAATGACATCCACGATTGGATTGTACATAGACAGAAAGATGAATAGTGTCACAGTAAACCATAGACATTCTGAAATAAGTATCGTTAATTGCATTGCCGTGCATCGAGTTTTTAATGAAAAAACAAATCCATCTGACGGAAGTGTCAATTGGATCACGTACTTCTGTATATAGTCGCAAGCGTAGTCCCATCATTGGTAACTTTATCTAATACACTCATTTCTAGAGGTGATTTCATTAGTTCCCTCCCTCGTATTATATAATTGAATAAATATTGAAACTGAGCAGGTATAGAACATATATAACATTTTCCATACATAAAACGTTTCATTCGAAGACTTACACACTTGCATGCAGATGCACATACTTACGCGTGATTTATTTGAATAGACATTTAATACTTTTACAATACTAATGAGTGCTGTAAGTGCTTGCGGTGCATCCTCGAAGAGTCCATCGAAGTCCCTGTTGCGGAACGTTTGCCAGAGTCTTATGTACTGCCGAATTGTATCACAATTATTCGTCGCGTTATTTAAAGTTCATTATCTGTGATACTCCTGCTCATTCAGCTTTCTATCTTTTCTTCGTGATTTGCAACTGATAGGAGAGAGGGGGGAATAGAGTCTAATTCATTCTTACCATTGGAGTGAAACCAGTAAAGCAGAATACTACTAGCGGAATTAATCGTGCAAGACTGACTTTGTTGTCTTGAAACGGATTTACTCCTATAAGAGTCATGTAGTCACCAAGTGTTTTATAAAAAGGTAGCTCGAACGCAGTAACAATACCGTCATTTTCCTGAAAATCTGAACATCTAGATTTAAATTTAAATGGTGATCAATAACACGTTACGAACATGATATAACGGTACAAGTTAGCAATAACTTCATTTTGTTGGCACTGGTTTATGTTTTGATGAACGTATTTGGTGATGTTCACTTTCGACAAATGGCTATAAATGTTAGCTACTTCTAACACACTATTCTTTTAATTTTATTAATTAACGTTTTTCTTACTATTCTTGATTTGCTTTCTCATTTGGAGTAATGGCAAGCAGTGCAGACTATATACTAGCAACCGACTGCAATAAAAGTTTTGTAGAAACTGTAAGCCGCGTCTCTCTAACATCTAAAAAGTGTCACTAACAGACAAGCTTAAAAAAAATATGTTAAAAGAACGCTTGCAGGCGCTATAGCTATACTACGGACAATGATGTAACGTGCAATCTAGCTATCACGCCGTGACTGACGCAGTTCAACGTGGCATTATGTACGAGTATCGGACTGTATAATTAACAAAATTAAAAATTTTAGATTGTGAGGCGATCTCACGTTAGAAGGGAAAACTTATGATTACATTCTGTAATATTCATCATCTTATCTACAACCTAATTCGGCAACCGGTGTTCCAATGTCTCTTACATGTGGGAGAAAATGTATTCGTTGAGACACTTAGTCATAGGAAGAATAGTCGTATACATATTACTGATTGTGAGATATGAGAATTCGAGAATGGAACAGGATGAAACAAGAATGTTATACACCAGAATTGTATGTCTGAAAGGACTGAACCATTCTAATAATATTATTCGTGACTAGTGTATCATTACATTTTTTGGTATTCTTGTTTCTAATGAAAAATATATTAGATATTTTTTAATGACGTTGTAGTACGTGTATTTTGTGTTGTAGTGTCGTTGCTGTTTCAGTCAGTCATTTTTTTACCATTTGCGTTCAATAGGTTTTGTAACTTTCTTCTGCTTTCGTAACTAATGTAATACCACCTACTACTACTAAAGAGCATTTGTATGTGCGTCTGTCTGTGTGTCCGTCCGCCCTAGCAAGGGCAACCCGCTCGGAGGTCCTAACTGAGAACAGCGTGCCTACGGCACGCTGAGAAAAGCTAGTTTAGAATAATACGCTTACTTTTTATCTTTACTTGATGAATAGACTGATTTTGTTACATGTGTATCAGCTTGAAGAGGTATTGTAACACAAAAGAAAACACTCAGGGGTGGAATTTTGAGGAACCCTCCCTTAGTGAGCAGCATGGAAGGAAACTGCTCTCAACAAGTAGATCATTACGATAATTTTGATTGATGAATGAAACAGATAGGAAGTTTTTTTAATGACAAGGGATAAAAGTCATAGCGATCAAAGTCACTTTTCGAAATTCAAAGATTATAGAAATGGTACAGTTGTTCTGTTAACGTGCCTACATTGTGTCGCTATTGGTTTGCAACGAAGTTGAGTCAGAACTTCCTTCACATTTCCTTTAAACGTATTAGCATTTGTAATTCAAGGAATGCAACTCGATCAAACAATAACTTACCCCATTGT